TGATAAATGAATCAGAAGTATAGCGTTTGAAATCTTATATTATATTATATCTTATATTATATTTCCTTATATTATAAAATTTTACGTTACTATCGACATCCGAGCAAGCGCAGTGACTTCTCGTTTCTTATAAAAATTAGAAGAGCATATTTCATAAGATTTCAAACGCTGTACTCTTAACATAATTCCTCATGAAAGAATCCTGTTTTCAATAACAGCAGAAGAGTATCGAAGTACTCCTACCATTAGTCACAGAACTTAACATCTTCGTTTCTCGATCAAACTACGCAAACTTATTACATATTTCCCACTGTCCCACGAAAAACATATATACCACTTTCACGTGTTCAACCTTCCATTAGCATCAAAATCCTTCCGTCCGTTCCTTCACAACCCACCTTCCCCCCAACCGAACACTCATCGATTTCAAGTATCCCGTCGAGCATCGTTCCAAGCAAAAATGCGTCGCGGTGAAAACAATCGCACCGATTCCGCTAAAACCCGCGCGGAGCAGCGCGCGTAAATAAAATAAAACCGGCCGTAACGGTGACCGGGGCTCGCCGGGATGCGTTTCGCGGACCTGTAAACCCTTTCGCGAGGCCCTCAGCCTGTGCAAACAAACCGTCCCGAATGGCGGCGAAAGAGGAGCGACGAAGAAAAAAACATTCGGGGAAAAAAGAAGAAAAACGCGAGGGGAAGGGAGAAAAGAAGCGTGGAAGAGGGCACGCGAGCTGGGCGCGCGGGATAGCCGACTTTCCGGGCAATTTGCGCCGATAAAACCGAACGCTGCCGGCCTAACCCTCGCGGCGGCTACCATATCCCGAGGATGCATTCCGAAAGAGGGCCCGGAGCCGCCGACGCGACGGCAAACCGGCAATTTTCACCTCGCAGCCTCGGCTCGCCTCGCAACGATCATCTTCTGCTCTTCTGGCCAGCCGGCCGAACGATCCCTTTCGCTTCGTACGTGATTGCTCGCCGGCAACTACTGTTTGTTTAGCAGGCCACTACGCCCGGCGAAACTGCCTCTTCAAGATTTTCGCAATTTCCTCGCGAGCTCTCCCCTTCTTCGCTCGCGGGACGCGGTTTTTCATTCCGCGCGCCGCGCCGTCCGCCATCGTGTTCGTCCGCTGGCTGCGTTCGCGTTGCTCGCTCGCCTTCGACCCGTCTTCTCTTCCGCTTCTCGGGTTGGAGAATGTACAGGGTGATCCTCTCGAGCGTTGGAACGTCGGTGTTGGGAACAATGCGCGACGGGTCGCGAATCTGGCTGCACGAAGTTCGGAACAAGCGATTCTTGGATTATCCTGTGAGTAATGTTTATGTTTCTAGTATTGGGGAAGACAATGGTAAGGGAAGCGATTTTTGGTGTGCTTGTTACGTGTTGATAGAGAATGTAATTAAGGGGAATGTGGTTTAGACAGATTTGTTTATATTTATTTTTGAAGATAGGGGAAATATATGAAAATGCATTATTTATGGGATGAGCCAACAGATTTAGTTACTAGTATACTTAGAAATATATCAGATACGATATATCTGTACATATATGAATAAGGACTTTATTTTTATAAAAATCAATTGTACCGCGACCGGTGGAAAGACCTATTTTATAACGTGATTTAAAATTCTTCATATTCTTTCTTTCATCTAATTTTATATCAATTCCTATATTGCCCCATTAATCAGTTTTTCAAAGTTCCCTTCGTTTCTGTTGTCATTAAGAAAAATTTATCGTCTGACTTGTTCACCTGTATAACCAATTATTTAACCGGTAGGAAGGAATAGTGAAAGAAGGAATTAGGAATTATAATTATCTATTGTAAATAATAATAGCTCGTATAAATAGGCGAATCGAGTAGAAATCAAGTAATCGTGATGGCATATTTTGACGTTTGGATCGCAGAACCTAAAATCGATTCTAAAGACTCGATCAAGAAACATTGTAGGTTCTACTGTTGATGTTTTGGCTATCGGTAGTTTTTCTTTCTCCAGCGAGATCACCCTGTATAAAGGAAAAGAGGAGGCCTGGATATCGACCTCGAAACCCAGGGATTACGGCGGAACATCGCCGCGAAATTGCCGCGGCAATTCCGAGGCCCGCGTTTTACTGCCACCGACGCCTCCATTTTTCGACGCCCTCCGTTCGCCAAAATGGCGCAACCCGCGCCGTGTTTCCGGTGTTCCGTTCAGCGATGGGAACTCTGCTGTTTGAGCGTATAGCCGGCGTTCTGCGAACGACGATCATTGTTTGGTTACAAGTTTCTAGAATGCCCGACTCTTAGCAGTTACAACGACGAGCGAGTGAAGATCTCCTCGGATCTTCTCGGTGAAGGTTTCTAGCTGAATTTAACACTAGAACTGCCAGGCAGGTCAAAATGATCCATTACCGATGCCTTATTCTTGCGATTGTTAAATGGCAATTGCAATTTGGAATTTCGAGAAGTCCGAAAGTCGAAGTGAAATGCAGTATTGTATTCTCTACGAAGAGTAACCCGAGTACCTTGAAAGTAAAACGAAAGTGCATTCGAGTTTATCAGAACATTTACTGCACATTCTCGTGGAGCTTTTTCTAAGTATATTGCAGCTACGTGTTATGGATTATAAGATTAGATACTGCGATAAGAACGTAGATAGAAAAAATGTGATAACATAATCCAGATATGCATTACATACTTCGGAGAGATTAAAATTATTTTCTAACGACAGGTAAATTGAAAATATATCAGCCTTATAAAGTAACGTTATCATCTACTTTCAAATCGGTTACAATAAAAAATTCCACAATATCTCAACGTGATTCCAGTAACGCGTAACAATCCCAGTTCCACAAACCACAGCTGACCAAAACCGAAGCCACAAATTCTATTGAAAAACTATCCCCATTCCCATAACAATACCACTTCAAATGCACAGCAAACAGAAAAGAACATAGCGCAAAAACGTGTCGAAGTGCGATGACCGCGGAGTTTATATGAGTGAATGCGTGAATGTCAGTGTGTCGTTCTAATCGTATATATGCGCGAAAGAGATCGCGGGAGCGGGCTTAGAGGTCTTAGAGTTTTGAAAGTTATGAGACCTTACAGTTTAGAATTTATAATTGCGAGTCTTAATCGGTAAACCGCGAATCAGTCAGTTGAGAGTTGGGAGAGAGAGAAAGAGTTTTCGAGAGCAGGTCCGCGAGTTTAACGAGTTAAACGAATCATCTTCTATAATTGGTTGTGTATGGCAATAGAATCAACTACTCCGTAAAACCCGAGGGGATTTATATCTTCATCGATAATCAAAAAAAATCCGTACAGAAGAAAACCGACAAAAAGGAACTTTCCAAGCGAAACGAGAAAACACAGCCGTGCACCTAACTCGACAAAAATGGCGCCGGCCACAGAAGCGCCGACCAAAGGCGATTAGTAACGAACTATAAAACCCCGTCCGGGAACCGAACACCGTAAGCGACAAGTTAACCCGTGAAAAGATTGAATCACTGGAAAAAAATCGTAACCGCCTTTCGCGGCCAGATTTCCCTCGCCCATGGCTCATTAGACGAACGACGCTGCCGCGATAACGACAAAGTGTACAAGCCGCTCCGGGGAAAGAGAGAAAGTGGCGGCCGGAACTTTTACTGCCGCCCTTTTACGAGAACTTTCGTCGGGGACGCAATAAAACCGCTCTCCCGACGTATGCCGACGGGGGTGTTTCGTTTTCCCTGCCTTCCGCTACACCCCCTGACCGCGGCAGTCACATTTTCCCGGAGGTTTCCAGGTTGAGCCGCGCAACGCCCATCGTGTCCGCCGATTACGTTCGTTACATTTTCGCCTTTTACGATTTTCCAGCTGGTTTGCATTTCCACGCCTCCCACCAGCATCCCCTTAACCTCTCGCCGGGGTGTTCGCGATCGAGCTCCGCCAACCCCGAACAGCCCGCCGGCGAGGATCTCTCGCGGCAGTCGCCCACAAAGGATTCCATTTTCTCAAATAATCCCGAAAACGCGATAGAAAGCTCGTAAAGCGGCCAGGCAATCTCGCATTTACGAGCTCCGCTCGTTCCCGCTGTCAACGCGAGGCCGTTCCACCTTGAAATACGGAAATCTCTGCCCTCCACCGCCCTCCTCGCCGCCGTTCCACGAATTTTCCTTCCACCCCTGAGCTCCCGCATTCCGCCCGCCGCTTTACGCTCGCGACCGATCGCTCGTGCTGATTCCGGAACCGCGATTCGTTTGGGAGAATGTCTTCTTTCCTCGCGAAGAGAATGTTTCCTTTTTCTTTCTCTTTTTGCATGTTGGAGTATTGTTTGTCAGATTTGATCTTCGTGTCGTGGGATGTTATAAGGCAAGCAGGGGTTAACGTTTTAAGGTAATCTACTATGCGATCTGTTTCAACACGAAAGAGATTTTAAGCGGTAACGTAGCACTCGACCATGTGAATTCGAAGTTTTCGGCACGAGTGACGAATTCGGACATGCCTGGAACACCGCGGTTGGTCATTATAGGCCCATTAGTCGTGTCGAGTGACGAGCCATGAATTTGTCTCGGGTTGCTTTCAGTGAACCGGAAAAGGGGCTTCGGAAAGGAAAAGAAAGGAGAGCGCATCGGCGCATGTTCGGTGAAACCGTGTTTCTGTTGCAGTTCATTTTAACAGCGACCCTAGAATAGAAAGGAATTGTGTAATTATTATATAACACGAAACAGATGGAGGAATATCTGTAGAGGAAAAACCGTGAACGCATGATAATAATTTGTGTTATGTACGATATTTATATTTTTACAGTTTTAACTTTACAAATAAGTCTTATCGGATATGTAGATAAATATACTTATCAGTATATTTTATTATTATTATTATCCCTTTGCCTGATAACAACGTGTAAGGCTCGCGGTGAAGATTTTCCACGTGATTTAACAAACATAAATATTAATTCAGTACATTTGAATTCAAAGTAAATATTATTCTTCCATAATAAATTATTATACTCACAAGCAAACACAGACATAGAATATGCCTAGAATTTGTCTCTTTTTCCAATAAATGATAAATGATAAAATAGGCGTAACGATCACAGTTGAAAAAGAAATCATAAGGCAAGGGGTTAATAGTATTATTATCTTATTATTATTAGTATTATTTTATTCAAACAGAAAATTTAGTGTCGTCAATAATAGATTGAATATACTTAAAAGGGGCATAGAATTCATAATTCCATTTAAATAATCATCCAAGTCAGTGCGTTTCGAGAAATGGACGTATAGATTGTACAACAGAGGCCCATTGTACAAAGTGGCTATGTTCACTTCTTCGTAAGGACGGGACAGAAGGGCGTTCAGTTCTACGCTCAGTAATAAGCAATTCTGGAACTCTGCAAACGCATGAAGAACATGCCTATCTAAAAATTCGATTGGCTGCGGTTTAGCGTGTATAAGAAAGAATGGCGCAGCTAAAAGACAATCTAGCATATTAATTTTGTCGTACGCCTTATCAATCGTATGATGCTTAAAGTAATGCGGTTGGAAGGAACTGATATTCCTTATTTCCGCTGAAAGTAATGACACGTATGATTCTCCTAGGCTCTTCAGGGATTCGTATTGCCCGATTTTCGTGATTATGATGTTAAACAACATACTGAAAATTATTGGATACGTATAACATCTGTTTGATTTGTAGTGCGGTGCTCGATCCGTCCAATATTTAAAGCAAGCAACGTATAGCTTCCATTTCGATGGAAGTTCGTCGATACACTTTACGTTTCGTATTTCTAACGCATTATCCAATATTTCTTTTCGGTCATTCAACGGAAGATCTTTAAGTTTCGACAATGGTATAGTTACCGCCGCTTCTAAGTCGTGATGCATCAACCACCCGTGCTGATCCCTAACCACACATTTCAGAGAGGTTCTTTTTTCATCTGTCGCCGACGTCAAGATTCCAAATGTAACTTTGAGAATATCAAAAGCGATTAAATGACTTGAGGGACATTGAAAATTGTCAATTACTATTGGCGTAAGATTCCAACGCGTATCAATTAACGTTAAAAAATTGCCTGCAAATTTAACCATGCGAAAATCCTCTAAAAACCATTTAGGCAACGTATCAATCATCGATTCATTGCTACGGTTTGCTTTTTTATGTTCGATAAGCGTGTTTATTAATTGATTAATATGATTTTCCTTCTTATTAACCCTACACAATTCAAAATTCTCCTCTTCGCTCCCCGTGTATGGTAAACTTTGAATATCCCCGGCGAATTTGTAAGCTTCCTTCGTGGAATTGCCGGCGCAATTGACGATATATTTCGAAGCATCCAAAAGCATAATGTACTCGTGTACCGGAGGCAAGCACCTATAATGATTTATATTTTCTTCTATTATATTTAAACACTTTTGTCTCTCTGATTTAGGTATCGTAATCATGATTTTTGTAATTCCTTGCTCCAAGGTATGATTACGGAGCCAATTAAAGATGCTTTCTGCATAGGCTACGCCTTTATACGTTCGAAACTTGAATAAGAAATTTTTGAACGCATCTTGTTTCGACACATCGTTCCCCAATAGCACCGCAATAAGCGAGAACGTGTATTCGTTCAACCTCGGAAAGTGATTTAAAAAATAGTCAAACTGAAATATTTTGCAACTCAACGCGTTGCCGGCGGTATCGCGTTTCACAGTGTGGTTCAATGTGTTAAACGGTATACACAACGTCCCGTATAAATAAAAGTCAGAATCGTCGCTAAGAACTGGACAGTTTAACGCATTTGCAATCGCTGCTGCGACCCTATCGGCCTCGATTAGGCATCGCACGTGCTTAATGTTCTTTTCCCGCAACACCTGGATGAAAACGTTCATTCTTAACGGCGGGGCGAACATTCTACACCCAAGTCTTTTCTTCTCGATTATGGTCGATGCGATTTGGAGTTTTTGGTGTAATCTGCTGATAACTGTATTTAATTTCGAGTCTTCGTACGAACCGTCCATCAAAACCAATGGCGTTACATTACACTCGAGAAGCTTGTCAAAAAACTTCGATACAATCTCTGCATACGCATCGTATGCGCCACCGTATATCCAACTGTCATCTGTGCACGAAATATATATATTATGTGACAGATTGTCACCATCAATTACCAAGAAAGTATTCTGCAGATTATACGGTCGCAGGCATGGCGATTTGTTTAAGATTGCCGTTAATCCTCGAATACCCATTGTGTCTTTCTGTTAGGTTAGGTTATTTCTTGTTCTATTCAGGAATTAAAATGTTCTGAATCTTGTTGTTCATTGCACGAAACGATACAGTCCGTCACGGTCTTCCCACTTCCGCGTGTTTTCTACAAAGAAATAATCCAAAGAAATTGTACACAGCATTTACTACGACAAATAAAATGACAACTTATGGAAACTGAAAGTTACATGTCTTATTTAATGTTGGAAGTCGGTCCTTAGAGTAAAGATCGATGCGCTTTTGTTAGTTTTTCAACGTGCAATTATGGCAGCGTGGCGTGGTGCGTCGTTAGGATACTATATTCATCAAAGGTGGAAACATTACGCGCGCACCGTCCTCAACTATTGTACATCGGTAGCAGAGGACTGTACCAATGGATACCTTGCAGTCATTAAAAATATACTTCATACTCATTCTCAACAATTCCCTATTTATCGACAAGTATCAATGTTCATTCAACTTTTACAATTGTTGGTAATGAAGATCGAACAATTACCCACTCCGCAAAACAAAAGACATTCGCGCGCGTTCTCGCAGCGGTGTGCGTCCCCGATGCGTCACGGTGCTCTGTATCCAATAAGATATAAGTTGAATATTGTAGCATGTTTATTCTCTAATAAATCATTATCACTAATCCGGTAGTGTTACTAAATAGTGCACCACCCATAGTTATTTTACTGACTAATAACCCAACAACAATTACAAGCATTTGAAGCACTTCAGTCACATATGACCGGCGGTCAACATGTTAAACAAATTCATTAAGTAATGCGCAAGCTGAGACGTATAAGAATTTATTTGTCCGATAAGGATTTATTTCGTCGTCGTCGTCAATCAAGTATTTATTCTCAATAGTTTTACCATTATAGTTTCTATACAAGGATTAAAGAATAATGAATGTGACTGCTTGGTAGTTTTAATGCTAATGATTCTTCGGGGAAGCATTTCTGTTCTCTAGAACGACAGCGAAAGAAGAAACTTGAAACGGCCGTTAAAGACCTTATCTAAAGAAAGATGAGTTATCCGTCGAACTGTTAAATACTAGAAAAAAAAGAAGACGATAGATTGAACTTTCGTTATCAGTATCAAACTACTTGCTTCTAACTTCAGATACCGAAGTCCGATGTCGCTGATACGACGATCCTCGTCCTCAAACGGTTATCGGAGGTAATGTACGTATATCTTTCTCAATTGCGTTCTTCAACGAAAATCTGTGGTCTGCTGATATTTCTTCGCTATGTGACAATGCCATTGTCGTATGAGAACGCGGGGAATGGATCGGGACACGCGGGATTCATAGAAACATGGGGAATAACTCACTCTTTCGTCAAACCAGCTTGGTTCGTTTCAGCTCTGGTCGACTCGGCCGTAGAAGGGTTAACGGCGAGATTTTTCGTTGACTGGATTCCACCCGCTTTCTGGTAAAGAACGGAGAACCTCTTGCTGTCGCCTAAGTAACCGGAAATCATGCTGCTGCGTAGCAGCTCGGGCCGACGTACCGGACGTCTCGCGTGCACATGATGTCCCTGCGGCGTCCTTGGTCGCTTCCTCGTAAAAGGGGTGTCCCAAAACGACTGATCAGTCCCGAACACCTCCCCGTCCTTCAACAAAACGCAATACTACCAGAAATATTAGGTCTAGGGTAAGCTAAGGAGAGCTATGAACTCGGCAGGTCATCGCCTTCCCGAGTTAGCGTCCCCGAAAACGAAACATCTACCCGTGAAAAAACGAGTAACGCAGGCCCGTGCGAACGAATTGCCGCCGAACAACCCGTATGTATACACAATAACATTTGTGACATTATTCCGGCCTTTGCAACTGTTTCAGTCGGAACCGATATGTAACAACTTCGAACAGTTATCTTCGGAACACTTCCAATCCTCGATTCTGACACGGAAATCACTGTCTTACCAGCAATGTCTGCGGTAACTGCTCCAGAAGCGTTTCCGGAAGGAATAGGCACACTATCCCAGCGAACAGGCTCGACAGTCCTAGTATGATCATCGGCAGGTTGTACAGTAATCTTCCGGAGAACGCGATGAACGGGCTTAATATAGACGTGACATATCCTGTCACGTGTATGAAGGCAACACCCTCCCCCCTGACCACAGTAGGCAACAATTCTGCAGTGTATTGCAACGCGATATTCAAGGCGACGTTGATAAAGAAACGGCCGCATATCGCGAATGACGTGTAGCCGACGCCGATCGACACACTCGCGGCGAATAGGCTGAATAGTCCGGAGAGGATCACCGCGCTGGCCAGAGTCCATCTTCGGCCGAACACGTCCAGAGTGTAGGTAACCAGGAGCAGGGCTGGCAGCTCGGTTGCAGAGGCGATCGTGAACGTCGTGAATATATCCATGCCCAGGATGTCCAGACACCGGATGTGGCCGTCGTAAGACATCTGAATGATGCCCCAAGACACTGTCAGCAACAACGTGATCCTTCTGCCAACCACGGAGAATTGACTTCTTTTTATGGTAAACGTGGTGAGAGGTTTTTTTGTTTAACACGTTGTATGCAATGGGGGTCACCGGCGACTCCCAACTAAATCGAATTACTATTGTAGGGTATGCGAGAGATTAAGGTGTGAATGAAGAATGTTTATGAGCAAGTAATAGAAGTGTGGGCATGCGAGAGATTAGCGTGCAAAGTGTTTATGACCGAGCGATAGGGATCGAGTGACTCAGAAGGATATTTAGGACTGGGTGACGGAGAGATTGAGAGATCGAGGTACGAATGAAAAGTGTTTTGGGGATCGAATGTTAAAGACTGTGTGAGTGAGAGGGTGAGTGCAAGAGAAAGATAGAATAATTGGGAATGAAATAAGATGCGTGAAGGCAGCGAGGAAAGGGCAGTCGGACAAGGAAGTATTAAAACCCAGAGAGTATTGCTTATTACACCTCTCCTATACAGTACACACATTGAAAATCCTACACCATGGTTCACTCAATTAAACGATGGTTAGTTGAAAACGTTTCTATATTATAAATAATACTATCTAATGCGGCGGAATACAGCTAGACGAACGTGCGGTAATAATAATGGAATCGAATTATTCAATATTACAGTTTTTCCATTTTGTGTATTTTGATCTATGCAATCGTGCGGCATTTCACGTGTCAACGGATTGCATGACGGAGGATTGCATGGCGCGGAATATACAAAATGAAGAAATGTAATATTAAATTATAATTGATAATTAATTGTTTAATAATTGGTTCTGAGTAATTTATGATTCATTTGTTCATTCATATGTTCATTTGTTTTGAAACTTATTTCATCTCCACAAACGGATCGGCATTTCTGGGAAAGGTATGAGATCAGCGTTATAGTACCGTTCAGTGATTCAACGATTAAACAAAGAGTTGCGATTAATTTAATGACGTAGTTTTATAGAGCTTGAAAAATATACAAGTTTGATTGGAAAGAGTTTCTTGTAGCTACTACAGTTTGGGAGAGAAGTATGATAATAGATACTTTCATTGATAGAGTGATTTCACTCTATAGAATCCCGGAGGCTCGGAGTTCCATAAAGCTGCAGTGATTGGGTAATTATTTTCGATACCGTTTTAATCTCTGCGTGTATGAAAGCTATTTACCTGAGACGTTTCGTTCGTAACAGATCTCGAAAAGAGTGGACCTCCGTGGCGAGTTGGTCCGCGGTTCTCACGCAGTCTTCAAGGAACTTTCGGTAAACGTCTTCGGGGATAATCATCTTGTTCGTCTTACTGATCCTCGCGATGATACGTATCGCTTTCTCTATACGGCCCCTGCTGATCAGCCACCTTTCACACCGTAACATTTCGTTTAACGCATCGTAGGTTTCTCGTATTATACGAAGAATGTAATAGTGATGCGTTACATACAACTAATGAGTTATCACGTAGTGTTATTACATAATACGTATCATTATACTGCGTTGTTCATTTCGTATGTTCATATTAATAATGCCACTGTTCTTAGTGTGCAATTGTTATTGTTATTACTCAAGCTTCAAAATATTCTATTCCATTCGAACGTGATAATATTGATAAGACAAACTGATGTATCACTTTCAAATAGTAAATATTAATAGATCAAGTAATTCCATTTGAATCAAGTCTAGTAGGGCAGTTGCGGTGTCAACAGAAAATTGGTAATGCTTCTATCATATTTTCATTATTTAATTATCATTTACTCTACTTTCTTAAATTACAGGCGGCTACAAAATAGTATCGAAACATCGAAATGATCAACGCACTAATATCTGTAACAGAAAAGGAACAAGAAGGAACTGAAAGGTAAGAAACACAAGAAACAGAAAGACAGAAAGGGCTGAAAAAAATTGAGAATTAAGTGTTGGGTTTGATGGGTTAATCACCAGAGAATACTATAACAACACACACCTGACGCTTTCAGGCAGAAGAAATGGCGTGAAGACAGCTGAGGCTAAAGGGACCGATGTCACCATGGCGAGCATCCTCCAGTTAGCTAGACCGTACGCCAACCACGGTAAACTGCTAGCGCCGAGTGTGTAGAATATCCCGTAGGCCATGTTTGCGGTGAACGTCCGCCATTTTGGCCCGACGCACTCCAGCACGAGTATGTAAGCCATCACGAAAGTGTTGTCGTAGGCCAGGCCGACTACGAACCTGCTCACGCAGAACTGCCAGAAAGAGATGATGTACGCGCTACTGAAGCCACCAATGAAACCAATCACGTTGGTGGACACTAGAACCGGTATTCGGCCGTATTTGTCCGCCAGCCAGCCGAAGAAGAAGCCGCCGAAGATCGAGCCTATGAAGAAGATGCTCTGGGCGAGGTAGACCTTGTACGCTGCGTCGCAGACCTGCAATTTAGAATTAAACAGTACTTACCTATTTCTAGGAAAGATTGTCAAGTGTCAACATTAAGTTTTTCGGGAGTATCCAAAGGTAATACTAGGTTCAACGTTATCATGTAATGATATCTATCAATATTATTAGGATTGCAGATGACTGCTGCTATTGATTACAAATGGAAAATTACACTTAAGTTATACATTATAGTACAGTATAATAGAAGAAAGGAGTTTCTTAGTTTTCGCACTTTGCAGTGTTTTCAATGAGAACTCGATTGTTAAGTTTTTCGAGGAAAAGAAAAATATGTTACAGCGAGGAAGCTAAGTAGATCTTATTAATTCATTAAGGATAAAGTAGTAAGAAGTAAAGTTCTCGTGTGTTTTAGTATCATATAGTGCTTGAACAAATTTTCTCGTTTATATTTATAATCGTTCGTTTTGAGGGGTTGATAATAGTTGATTAGAGAATGAAAAATACGTTTAACGGGACGTTTCGGCGGCGAGAAATGTTGCACGTGTAGAATTTAAAATTAATAGAAACCTGGCATAATGTTAAGAGATCAATTTTTGGCTCGTGGAGCAAGCCATTTCTGTTTTACCCAGTTTTGTTCCGTGGCAACGGACATGTATGGCACGTCAGTACGTGTGAGCTTGAACTCCCAAGCGTTGCACCTCTTCAAGGGCCAACTTTTATCCGGTTTCTTCACAGCGAGCGCCTCTTCTACAGGTAAGTCGTACATCCAACATCTCGAGTAGGGCAAGTGGTGTCCCTCGAAGGGTACCAATTTCGAGCTGGGTATCATGATATCTCGCAGTTGCTCGTTGGACACTCCCTCGACCCGCGGCAGGCGACACCAATATTCTTTCGGCAGAACAATGAGGAACGCTTGCGTGAAGTAGACGAAGGACAGAGACAGGCAGAATATCGTCAGCATTCCGAAAAGACACTTCTGGTACGTGCCAAACTCGCCTGTCGAACGGAATCGCGATTGAATTGACAATTTTATGATATTATACGAGTACCCGACACGAGTGTGAATAGAATCATACGAGGAAATTTATATATTTATTAGATATTGTAAAGAATTCTATGCAAAAATTTACTGATTTATTCAATTGGAAAGTAATTAGAAAATTATATACAGAAGTTAATATTACCCAAGTAGCGGCACGAATTGAATTCGTTGAAGATTAATAATCGGTGATTAAGGATTTCTTAATAAGTCTTTTAATGGCAATAGCAGTTGCAAGTTTGATTTAATAAATCATTCAGAGTAACGTTATTAAATCGTTTTCTTGTGGAAGACTACTGTTCGAAGGAAGTTAAGTTGGTCCTTTATGTAAGGCAGTCACTCGTAAGCCTGTTAATCGTTGTCTGCTAGTCCCCTGTTTAACGGCATAACGCCTAGTATTAAATCATCATTGACACGCTCACAGTGTTTATATTGTATTTTAATGGAGCGGTAGCGACGTGAATGCGTTTCCGCTTAGACAATTATTTTAATCTGAATCTTGATAATGCCGGAGATATAGACGTTCGCGAGTAAATTAATCTTTATCTAACCGGAAACGCGGACTCGTTGCTGTCGGTCCATTGCAACACATGTAAACATTGTGAGCGTTTGAATGATGATTTAATGCTAGGCGTTATGTCAGACAGGTGACCAAGTATTATATAACCATTAACAGGTCTGCGAATGACTATCTTGTATGAAAAAGTAGTTGAATTTTCTTTGAATAGTTGTCCACGAAAGATACTGACTCGCTCTCCTGTTATCTTTCTCGTTATCGAGTAACAGTAATACTATAACGATTCCTTGATCAGTGATTAGAAATATTTTTACAGTAAACTGATACTTAAACAGTTGAATGTTATTGTGCTGGTGTTATACTGTTAAATGGGCGATAGTTGTGAATAGTTCTATGATTTTGTTCTTAGATGAGCGAAAATCTTGACGTAGAAGTTCAAAGAGTTTCTTAATTAAGTACTAAGTGGAATAAATAAATTTTTTTGTAATACTGGCGTGAATACAATATGTAGAATAATACACAAATTAAAGTTTAAAAAAGGGGTTTTTAATTAAATCCTGAGCAGAGTGAACAGACATTTCTTGAGTTTTAGTATGAATAAAAAAGTAGAAAAATTATAATGGAGTCCAAAAAGATTCCTTAATGAAATCCCAAGCAGAATAAATAGAATTTTGTTGAATTGTAGTATAAGTAGAATGTATAGAAAAGTGGAAGGATTGTATTGAAGTTCAAAGAAACGATTCTTAATTGAATTCCGAGCAGAATGAATAGAGTTTTATTAAATTCTGAACAGTACTCGCCCAAATAAATCAGTATATCGTCAATAGTAACGGCGTCATCAGGTTCAACCAATATACGACGTCGTCTCATCGGGAACTGAATGTATTTACAGCCTTGGATAAAATTAAACTAGTTACAGTTATCGACGATAACCTAGAATTAGCTCTTGCGTATTGAGAAACTGTCTAAATCGCACGCGACGTGATACTGGATCCGCGTGAACTTACTCGAGCATTGATTCGCCGAAGCATAAAATTTCGAGATTATTTCGCGGATATTTGTAGATCTGCACTCTTTTAAAATCTAATTCCCATCGTGAAACGAGCAATAAATCGATAAAACGCCATTCATGGTTCAAATTTTATTAGCAAAATCTCAATTCCTCAAAGGTTACCAAAGAATTTTAAAATATACCTTCTACCATTCAAAGAACATATAAAAGCTCCGAAATAAAACTTCGCATAAAGAATATTTTATTCCTCACCCACCTCTCAATTATTCCTTGAATTGAAGTTTCGATTTATCAATTACAACATTCTATTCACACCTCTACAAAATAGATTTATCTTCACATCGAATCTACCATTTAATCTATATAATTAAACTAACTGAAATAATCTAATCTATATAGCAAATACAGTTCACAGTAAATCTATATAATCAACTAGCAGCTCAAATTATCTACAGAATTGTAGAAAATCAAAGACGTTCAGAAATTGTCTTTGAAAATTCGGGTCATAATAGACCCAGGCTTCGTCGTCGGGAGGCTAAAGCGACGTGTGCTCCGTCGAAGGCAAATAGATGATTTCTGATCTTCGATTCGCGTCCCCGGTTCCACCCCAACGATTTGACCTTAGATGTGCCGGGGGGGTTGATGAAAGCTGGGTGTTGTAGGAGGGAGCCAATCGGAGCGAGCGTTTAGCTAATGCGTGTAACGCGGCCCGTGGGACGATTCGACGCGGTTCTGCGCCTGTTTCACGCTCCTCGTTACGCCGGGGGATGGTGACACCTTGCTCTCGGCTCACCCCGTCTCATTTCATCGTAAGAGGCTCGGGGGTGGCACACCCTTTTCAGCGATGGCCTCTCCGCGTACTTCTGCAGACCTCTTTTTAACGAATTTCCGATGTTTCCAAGGGTCGACGAAACCTAACCACCGGAAAACTCATCTCTGCAATTATGCAGATTCGACTGTGTAAGAACATAATTAGAAAAATAGAATTAAGATTGAAAATGAAGTTTACTGGTAAGTATTTTGAAAAGCACTTGGATATTTTAAATATTCTTTTTGCGTGCATTGTATGCAATTTTGGGCTTCCAAGTTTCTAATTAATTGTACAACTTTCATATCTCTTTTATTTCTTTGCAACATACTATTTACTTTGGAAGTAATCTTCTGTCTCTGTTCTGGTTATGAAATGATTTTAATTCTTTTCAATGTACATTTATCGTATAATTTATGAATATTTATTTTCTAGGGAATTGAGCGTTAGTGTAGATAAATCATTTTCATCCCTTCCAATATTCTCCGCCATGTATGAAGAGAAAGGGATTAGTTTATATTACCAATTTGTCGAGGGGAATCGTGTGTTAGTTACCGGTACATCGAATAAATTAAAGTGTCCTGGATGAAAGTCTTATTTCGAAGAATATTTATCATGTCCCTTTGTTCGGGGCATCTTGAGGCCATCACTACCACCCGCAGAGGGGTGATTTCCAATTTGCAGGGTCGAGTAATCCGACGATTTACATAACTCCATGGTAACGGTATCACTCTCCCTCTCGAAGAGCCGAGACCCCGCCTTTCCAGGCGCGCCGAAGGGCCTCCAGGGGTTGGGATTCCTCCGGAGAATATAAATGGTCGTAATTTAAGGTTCTTTCCCTTTGGTGACAGACTTTTTTCCCTCAGTATAATTTATTCGGAATTTTAGTTCAACTCGTTTGCGCGTAGCAACTCCAAAAGGGTTTGGAAACTCACCAGAGAACAAGTGTTTAACTCGAATCATCCTCAAGAATATTTAACGTCCTCTTTCATCCACTAGTTCATTGGTTAGAGAAAATTTACCTTGAAAATCTATTTGGTAAATAAGTAAATAACTTTTCGAGAAGTCCCTTCGTGAAACAGAATTTTCGAAAATATTAACAACCCCTTCCATAAAAAGGTAAATTATACATCAAATCTTTAAATTCGAGAGAAAAAAGTACCACGCGGTGATCTTTTGTTGTTTAAACAATTAAATTGTATACTTGCAACTTCTTGTATTATAGTTACAGAAATGTACTACGAATACAACGGTGCATTAAATAAATTATAAGGAGAAGGGAATTGGTCGGCGGAAGGGTCTAGTAATTTTCTTCTTCGTCCCTTCGTCCCTTCAAATGAGTTGACTTTCTGCCGGCGATCGACGCTGCTTTCGTTTCGTTCCGCCAGAAATTAACTCTCCTCACGGTGACGTAATTCGCGTTAAGTTTCCTCGTTTTTCGAATCGATCCGGCGACGAATCAGGGCGCAGTTAGCTAATGCGGGCTTGTGTTGGCACAGCCCCCGAGGGGGTGGCTCTTGCCGCTCCACCGACGTAGTTAGGGGCGAATCGCGCCCGTAGCAACCATCCCCCGTAACCTCCGAACCGAGTTCTCTCGGCGATATCTGGCACGGTACTCCGACAAAATGAAAATCTTCTCTATGGAAAAAATTCTAGTCCTTTCGTCCACTTTTCTTGTGTTATCTCACGCCTTTTCTACGATTAAAGTTTTCTCAAATATTTCGTAACTTCCTACTTCTACTCTTGTCATTTTCTTATGGTACATTCTATTTTCTACTCAATTTCATGCAACACTGACATCGAACATTGACGATCAGGAATTTTCCTTGTAACGTATAAAACACTTTTCTCCCATTCGAAAAACATTATTCCTCTATCATCATACAAAAATTCAAAACCTATGTGCAACAATCAATGCGAAACTCCTTTCTCTTCCATTAAAAGATCAACAGTAAACCAATTCGTACAGCTTCTAAAGGAATCGCACGACAAGGGGTTGATTGAACCTAGATTACGAAAACATGATAAACAAAGAAGATCGCATTATAAAGAGACAGAACAGAAGGAACACCGTCACAAAAATTGCTAGACACATGAGAGAGTAAAAGTTCAAGGCCGCCTCGGCTCTCACACCACAACCATTTTTTCCTCGCCGACCCCCCGTTCAAGGGTGAATCTCTCCGCGACGTAACGTCCTCTAATTTCCGGGGCCGGGTGTGGCTTTTGCCGCAATTAATTTCCCGGGAATCCAATTAATTCCTCGCCGCCGGCCAATGAACTAACGTTGTTTGCCGAAGAAAACGTAGTTCCCGTTGATCGAGGGACGCGAAAGGGGGATGGGAAGCGGGGGTTGCTCTCGAAGAAGGTGAACCCGACGGGGTGGAGGGTAAATTCACCGGGAACACCCGTCGAAGGGGTACGGCGCAGATAAAATTACATTATCGCTTAAAGCGTCCTCGAAATGGGGGAGGGAGTGAGAGAAAGGGTGAACGAGCGAGAGAGAGACAGCGGGGGTGAAAATCACGTCCCGTAATTCCCGGGCATTAAGGTAAACGTCCAAGTCGCAGGGCGCAGGTTCGGTCTCCATG